ACATGAAAGAACAGTTACCTAATTAATCCAACCCATGCAATGGCCTAATGAAACTCAAACATGCTTCAATCAATTTACTAAACACGAACAAATAATTCACTACACAGTTGTGAAGTAAGGAAAAGAAAATCTAAAATTGTAAACCTAAAACATGCGGCTAGAGGAAACAATTAACATGAAGAAAGACAATTAACCAAAAGATACAATAAACAGAAAAAGAAATTACCTAAGTTTGTTCCTTTATGAACCCGACCAAACTTCAGCAAGGTAAAAAATGAACTTGAAACTACCTTTAGTCGACTGTTATCAACAAGAACAGTCGACTAATGGACATTTTGGGTTCACATGACCTATAATTGACCGAAAAAATCAAAAGGGAAAAAAAATTAAGGTTCAATGAATCTGGAATTTAAGATTCGAGGGGTTTGGCTGGGACTTTTGGGAAATCAACGGTGAGACAGTGGTGAGAGAGGGATATGGATTACACAGTGTGAGTATAGATTTGGAAAGGGGAAGGCAGGGAGATTGTGGGGTGTTAATTTGATGGTATTTCGAGGTGGTCTGCCGCCGTGAGACGATTTCCGGTCAGCAGACCACGGCGGAGACGTTGAGGTTTTTTAGGCGGCTAGGGTTTGTAATCTCTGAGTTTGAGAGACGAAGTGGGGGGGATATGTCTCATTCAGACTGTTATATGCAAAATGATAGACCAGTTCCAGGCCGTTGGATTAACGAGATCCAACGACTGTGATCAATCATTCACAAAACAGGGGTCGATTGGGGAACGAGGGAGCTAGACTAGGTGTATTTGGTTTTGGGCTAGGGTTGGACGGATTTTGGCGCAATCTTTTGGGATGGTTTGAGTATTAAAATCAGTCAAATTCCAAAAAATCCAATCCTCTTTTATTCCTCTTCTTTTATTTCCAATTTCTTTTCTTTTTTTTTTTATAATTAAAAAACCTAAAATTGAAATCCTAAATTATCTAAAAATGTAAAATTAAACTAATCAACTAATTACAAAAATTATAAAAGCTACATAATTCTAAATTAAAAGAGAAAAATCAATAACCTAAAAATAAAAAGAAAAAGTGTAAAAATGAAGCATTTTTTGTGATTTCATTTTATAAAATAAATAATTACTGATTAATCCTAAAAATATAAAAATAAAGCGTAAATGCAATGTAAGATATTTTTTGTTATTTTTTATGATTTAAATAAAATTAAACATGCACAGAAATGCAAATAATTAATAAAATTCTACAAAAATTCCTAAAAATGGAAAATAATTAAGAAAAAATCTATTTTCTTGGATTCTGTAGGAGTAATTCATATAGGGAAAAAATCACATGCTCACAACTACCCCTCTTTGCTCAGAAATACGACGAATTTTTGGGCAAAGATAAAATGAGCAATTATGAGGGATTTTTGCCCGTTTGAAACTCCATGAGAAGCATCTTTTGAAAGAGTCTGACCGAACCTTGCTTCACAGGTTGACTACATATCCTTGGCTATAAAGGAATTAGGTCAGTGTAGTTCTAGAAGTTTTGGTAGCTGGGACTACCGGGAAACTGTTATTTCACTATTGTTGTTGTTGTTTCTGCTTGCTGAGCTCCTTATTACACCAAAATGAAAGATGAAAAGCTAAACTAGCTAAACCTATCAACTACGAGTTACAAGATTCCTATCTATAAACCTTCTAAAGCTTAATCTTGAGTCTTGGCTGGTTCTTCCTGCAGACTCCGATCTAAATCTTGATGTTCGTTAGCTGCAACCGCTGGTTCATTCTTCTTCAGCTTTTCGGATCAAGGTGAGATATGCAAATCTTATGACTTCAATCATATCTTGAGCAGTCTGCATCTTTTCTCCGCTTCTACACTTTAGAGCTCATTTTCTTTTATTTGAATCGAGACTTCTTATTTTGGTCACCTCAAAACTTGTGCCTCAAGGTAAAAACCTGCTCAGGTAACAAAACAATCAAACGAGCGAAATTTTCTACCCTGGTTTTCACTAGGAAAATTTTTGTGAGTTATTGCAACGACATCTAAACTATTTTTTATTGAAAGCAATAAAATCAGGATTGTGTATCCTTAGGAAAAAGAGATTAAGGAGTGGAGCCCTATATCTACAATGAAATCAACTAGGGACCGGGGGCCCTAAGTTGGAAAGATTGCCAGGTTATACTGGAAAGCTAGGTTATGCTGGGAAACAAAAAGGTCATCGGGTTATGCCGGAAAAGAAAAAAGGTCCTCGGGTTATGCCGGGGAGGTCATCGGGTTATGCTAGAAAATAAAAAGGTCCTTGGTTTATGCATGGGAGGTCCATGGGTTATGCCGGGAAAGGTCATCGGGTTATGACAGAAAAGAAAAAGGTCCTCGAGTTATGCCGGGGAGGTGTACGGGTTATGCCGGAAAAAGGGAAAAGTCCTCGGGTTATGCCAGAAAAGAAAAATATCCTCGGGTTATGTCGGAAAGGTCCACGGGTTATGCTGGGGATCAACTAGGTAATGGAACCCTGTATTGGAAAATACTACCAGGTTATACTGGGAGTGACTACGGAATGAGACCCTATGTTGGAAAAACGTAGCTAGATATTGGAGGCCCTATGCTACCATGGTTTTGGATTGTCTTCTTCTTTCTTTTCATTTACTTTTAGCACTTTATTCAGGGGAATGCATGGAGAGTTTGAAAGGGACTTCCCTTTTTGGTTTAACTTCCGCTATAGGACCATTCTGGTCTCCGCGCACCTTGCTTTTAATGCACCTGCTTCTTACGAGGTTGTTTTGGATTGCACCTGTTTTCTAATCAAAGAACAATTTGTCAGTTTGAAACAGTGGTTGGTTTTGTGGCCTTGAGTGTTTTGATCTCGGTCCAACTCTTTTTATGAAATCCTTTACTGCTTGCTGGCTTTCTGGAGGCCGATTTCTCTTCTAAAACCAAGTATTTTGACATTTCCAAAATTTCACATGATGGTTGACCCGTGTGGGGCTTTGGCCTTTCTTATTTTGACTTTATGGGTGCTTGACTTTGGATTTTCTTTCCTTTTCAATAATTTTAACTCTGTATCATCGGCCATCATGGCCAGTCGAGATCGACTTGATGCACCTGCTAAGGCTGGGCGTCTTTACTTGAACTTGGCTTTTGCTAAGCAGAACCTTGTAAAACCAATCTTGCCATCTTTTCTCTGTATTAGTTTCGGAGGAGGATTAAATCGAAAGGGATTCAAAGAAAAGTAAAGAAAGGACAGGATAATGAATTCAAAAAGAAGTATCCCTTTCGGGGGAGTAAATAAGAACTTATCTGGAGTGCATGCAGACTTCAATAGACATGAGATGCTTCTTGGACTGGATACCCGATCTGCGCAACTATCCAACCCATTATGACTTGCATTTTAAAATCGAAAACCCTTGCCAGGACTCTTTCAGTGCCAATGGTTGTAAGGAATTCCTTCTTCTCGATCAACGGCGCCCTTTGTGGGTTTTTGCCAATTGACTTCTCTCATTTCTCTTCTCAGTGTCGCCTTATAGTGCTCTTTGTGAGTTTTTACTAACAAGACTCTCTCATTTTTAATTTCTCTGCTCACTGTCGCCTTACAGTGCCCTTGTGGGTTTTCACCAATAAGACTATCTCAATTTGTTTCTCTCATCTGGTTGAATTAGATCCAAGCAGCCGCATTCTCCGATTCTTGAACATTCTCACCGTTTGATCAGAAGGACTTGAACAGGATTTAGGGTAAAAAGAGTTTGGATTGAATTACAACTTTAGAACCTTTCTGGTGAACCGTCGCCGAACCATTATAACATATGCTCCGGTTTCACTTTTAGGGGAATTTGGAATTTTGTTTTGGTGTGACTGAACTCTAGAGAGAGGTCGCCTATGTATACTTTCGGAATCAAGTCGAACGCAGTTCAGGAAAACTTTTATTTTTGTTTTTCTTTTTGTTTTAATTTGATTTTTTGACAAACATTTTTAGGTTCCAAAGAGGATAATCAAAGAAAGGGTAACCGTAGAAGGGTTAAACGTAATACCTTTTGACTGCGTCTGTGTTGCCAGCTGTTTCAGGATCATTTCCTTCAATGTCTCCCAGGTACAATGCCCCTCTCGGAAATAATTTTCTTATAATGTATGGGCCCTTCTAGTTAGGAGCGAACTTTCCTTTTGCCTCCTTGTGATGAGGGAGAATACGTCTCAAAACAAATTGCCCCACTTCAAAGTTCCTAGGCTGTACTTTCTTGTTATAGGCTCGGGCCATTCTTTGTTGATACAGCTGCCCGTGGCAAAATGCGGCCATCTGCTTTTCGTCAATCAAGGTCAACTGTTCTAGACGGGTCTTGACCCACTCACTATCCTCAACTTCAGCCTCAACGATGATTCGGAGAGATGAAATTTCAACCTCTGTGTGTATTATGGCTTCAGTGCCATAAACCAATAGATAGGGTGTTGCTCCGATTGATGTGCGCACAGTTGTGCGATATCCCAAAAATGCATATGACAACTTTTCATGCCACTGTATCGAACATTGGATCATCTTTCTAAGAATCTTCTTGATATTTTTGTTTGCTGCTTCAACAACACCATTAGCTTTGGGCTGATAAGGGGTAGAATTCCAATGCGTGAGCTTAATTGTTCCTATATCTCCCTCATCAAGTGACTATTCAAGTTTGCAGCATTATCCGTAATGATAGTTGTAGGGATACCAAAATAGCAGATGATGTTGGAGTGCACAAAGTCTACCACTGCCTTCTTAGTGACGGCTTTGAGAGTGACTGCCTCAACCCATTTTGTAAAGTAATCGATGGCAACCAATATGCATCTATGCCCATTTGAAGCTTTTGGCTCGATTGGCCCAATGACATCCATACCCCAAGCAACGAACGACCACGGTGTTGTCGTAGGATGCAGTTCTGTAGGTGGTGCATGAATCGGGTCACCGTGCACCTGACACTGATGACATTTTCAGACAAAACTGAAGCAATCTTTTTCCATAGTCATCCAGTAATAGCCTGCTCAAAGGATTTTCTTTTCCAGGACATATCCATTCATATGAGGTCCACACACTCCTGCGTGTACTTTATGCATGATTCTCCCGGCCTCTTGGGCATCCACACATCTTAACAAGTTGAGATCTGGAGTCCTTTTGTACAAGACTTCCCCGCTCAAGAAGAAATCGCTGGCAAGCCTTCTAATGGTTCTCTTTTGGTTTCCATTGGCTTGCTCGAGATACTCTTTTGTTTTCAGAAATCTCCTGATATCATGATACCATGGTTGAACATTTGGTTTCACCTCAACCACATTGCAGTAACCATGCCTTTCTCGGATTTGGATTTCCAACGGGTCAATGTGCACATTTCCTAGATATGGCAACATTGAGGTCAAAGTAGCGAGTGCATCAGCTAACTCATCATGAAAATGAGGAATGTACCTGAACTCGACTGACTTGAACCGCTTGATAAGATCTTCCACATATTGCATGTATGGAATAAACTTAACATCCCGAGTTTCCCATTCACCCTGAGCTTGTCGGATAATCAGATCTGAGTCTCCCGTGATTATTAATTCCTCCACACCTTGGTCGATTGCCATATTCATACCCATAATGCAGGCTTCATGCTCGGCAGTGTTGTTTGTGCAAAAAAATCGAAGCCGGGCTATGGCTGGATTGTGTTGACCAGTGGGTGAGATCAAGATTGCCCCAATCCCGACACCTTTTGCATTCACAGCTCCACCGAACAACATTTTCCAAGCATTGGTGTCTTTTGATGTTACCTCAAATGAATTTACTTCATCGTCTAGAAAGCAAGTACTCAAGGGCTGATTCTCATCATTAACAGGATTTTCAGCTAGGTGATCCACTAAAGCTTGGGCTTTCATTGCCATGCGGGTGACATAGACTATGACAAATTCAGTGAGCAGGATTTGCCATTTTACCAACCTCCCGGTGGGCATCGACTTCTGGAATATGTACTTTAAAGGATCCAACCCGGTGATGAGGTAAGTGGTGTAGGCCAACAGGTAATGCATAAGCTTCTGAGCGACCCAAGTTAGGGCGCAGCAAGTTCTTTCCAATAGGGTATATTTGGCTTCATAACTTGTGAAATTTTTGCTTAAATAGTAGATTGCCTGCTCTTTCTTCCCGGTCACATCGTGTTGCCCGAGGACACAGCCGAAGGAATTCTCCAAGACTATTAGGTACAAAAACAAAGGCCTCCCAGGTTCAGGTTGGACCAAGATTGGCGGATTTGATAGATATTCTTTGATTTTGTCAAAGGCTTCTTGACATTCATCGATCCATATTATCGCTGCATCTTTCTTCAACAGCTTGAATATGGGCTCACATGTGGAAGTCAACTGAGCAATGAATCGGCTGATGCAATTCAACCATCCCAACAAGCTCATAACCTCTTTCTTGGTTCTCGGAGGAGGTAAATCCCGAATAGACTTTATCTTCGTTGGATCTAGCTCAATACCCTTCTGACTGACTATAAATCCCAAAAGTTTTTGAGACAGAACTCCAAATGCACATTTAGCCGGGTTTAGCTTCAAATCATACTTGTGCAGACACGCAAAGAACTTTCTCAGATCCCGAACATGGTCATCCTGTGTCTTGGACTTAATGATCATATCATCCACATACACCTCGATTTCTGGGTGCATTATGTCATGAAAGATGGGAGTCATAGCTCTCATGTACGTTGCCCCAGTGTAAGCACGTGATTTTTGACCCTCCCCGAGAATTTTCACATTTTTAGCGTGAATATGTGAAATTAGGTCTAGTATAGCTATTTTAACTATTTTTACTTTATTTCGTTGCAAAAAAGAAAATCACAAAAAATATATATATAATTTTAGTTTATGTATTTCTCATAAACTTGAAAAATAAAAAAAATTGCACTTTATTTCTGTACTTTATATAATTTCGAAAATTACAAAAAAAATATAATTCTATTAAGGTTTTGTAGTCATTTTAATTTGGGAAAAATACAAAAATATTACCTCATGTTTTATCTTAATATTTAAAAACGAAAATTACAAAAATAGTTTTATTAATATTTTGTAGCTATTTTAAATCCTTAAAAAATATTTAAAAAGATATAGTTTTGTTAAATACTAGTCTTATTTTTGGTAGTTATTTTCCTTATATAGGACTAGTTAAGCAACGTCGTGTTCTTATTTCTCGGGTCCGGGGAAAAGAATAATATTCGGGTTCAAACTACCCGGTTTTAGGCCTAATTTCGGACCTAACCCATAATAAACCGTGTCCAGGACACATGGGGAACCCCACCACGCGTGGGGGACATAAACCTTGAACCCCACCACGCGTGAGACTCATTTTTCTTGGCAAAACATTACAAAACACGGACAAACACATTTGACAAGGGGACGGATTTTTAAAAATTTTTGGGAGGAAGAGACTATTCATCTCCTTTCTCCCTTGAAAGAACGAAAGGCAAAAATCTACTGTGAAAAANTTATACATGTGGTAGTAATGTTGAAATTATAGTAGCAATTTTAATTCCGCGGAAAAATACTCGCTTCATCAAATAGGTTCAATCTATAACCTATGACCTCGCAAAGTAGCAAAGAATGTAGTTATTTTAGCCTTATCCTTTTTTTTCTTTTGAAAAAAAAAATAAACAAATAATAAATAAAAAAATAAAAAAAACGAGACAAGCTTCACCAAAAAATAAAAAATGTGCAGATTGCGGAGCCCTCACAAAATGATGTATTAAATACTTAGATTCCGGGATAGGCCGTTTTAGCAAATTTCACGGCCCTACCCAAAATAATAATGCGCTAGTTGCTTTAGGCGCGCCTTTAATAATATTATCTCCTTAAATTCGGGTGTGCATTTCATGCGACCCAAATCCAAATCCTAAAACATTGAATAAAAATATGTTCCGGATCGTGGGTGCATTTCATGTGACGCGGTCCGAAGACATGTTTTAAGCGATGTTCACATTCCTTAATAATAATAATTATGAAAGCGGTAAAAAGTTAAAATTTGCACATAAGTTCATATTTGTATAAAATCAGATAATCAAGCCGAATATAACAGTTGAGCGACCGTGCTAGAACCACGGAACTCGGGAATGCCTAACACCTTCTCCCGGGTTAACAGAATTCCTTATCCGGATTTCTGGTACGCAGACTGTAATATGGAGTCATTCTTTTCCTCGATTCGGGATTAAAATTGGTGACTTGGGACACCCTAAATCTCCCAAGTGGCGACTCTGAAATAAATAAACCAATCCCGTTTCGATTGTCCTTTAATTGGAAAAAACTCCCTCGCGCCCCTCGGGTGCGGAAAAAGGAGGTGTGACACCCAGCATTCTTCAAACCAAAAGGCATGAACCTGTAGCAATAGGTGCCCCAGGGTGTGGTGAAGGTTGTCTTTTCCGCATCTTCTTCATCCATCAAAACCTGATGGTACCCAGCATAACAATCCACGAAAGATTGTATCTCATGTTTGGCACAATTGTCAACAAGGATGTGGATGTTTGGCAAAGGGAAGTTGTCTTTGGGACTTGCTTTGTTCAGATCTCGATAGTCAACACACACTCGATTTTCCCCATCTTTCTTTGGCACGGGAACCACATTAGCCAGCCATGTGGTGTATCGAACCACTCAGATCACCCCCGCCTTCAACTGTTTTGTGACCTCTTCTTTGATCTTGTCACTGATATCAGTTTTGAACTTCCTTTTTTTTTGTTGTACAGGGGGGTAATTGGGGTAAGTCGGCAACTTATGGACCACAAAATCAACACGTAGTCCTAGCATATCATCGTAGGACCAAGCAAACACATCTTTGAATTTAAACAAAAGCTGGATCAATGCATCCCTGGTTCTTTCATCCGTGTGAATGCTTATCATGGTTTCTTGGACCTCTTCCGAACTACTCAAATTAACTGACTCGGTTTCATTTAAGTTTGGCTTAGGTTTATTCTCAAATTGTTCCAATTCTCGATTTATCTCCCTAAAAGCCTCTTCCTCATCATATTCCGGTTCTTGATTCATTTTTTCACAATTAGACAGCGCGTTTGGATCTGGGTATGAAGTCCATGAGCATGTCATGTTATTTAAAGCCACATTATTAGAACTGAAAGAAAAAATAAGAAAAAGTAACAAAAATTAGAAAGAATAAATAGACAGATTCATGAACGATGAAATATTGATTTCATTTCATTGAATTTTGAAGATGTCAGGGTTTACATTGGAATTTAAAGACAGAAAACTAAAGAAAACATCCGAGTTACACACTGGAATAACTCATGATGTAGAAAAGGTAGCAAGACTGGACTACAGGATTCCCGCCTGACTGGGAACAGAGTAGCCTTCCAGTTTTGCAATTTGTCATTGGGCCCTATATACAGTACCTCAAGGGTGCTTGAGCCTTCTCCCGGCTGGACCATGTGGGTTTCATACAATATCTGCCTTATAGCTTCACATATTTCTTCAATTTCTTCGGCCCTAAAGGCTTCATCTTCCTCTATTATGTACTTGGGCTTGACGAATGTTTCGAACAGATGCGAGATTGGATGAGACAAGACCCAACCGTTTCTCTTTCGCTCATTTGCCCATGTTTTATCCGCTGGCGTGGCTTGAAAACCCACACCAAAGAACTTCTAACTAGCAGCCAGAGTGATAGGTTCTATGATACCTTGTAATGATGTCCCGAGCCCCTTCCCGAGCTTATAACCATGCCCGATCATTTCCATGGCAACCATAATTGACGCATTTGAGAGAAAAGGTTGAGGACACAGGCTTCCTTCTTCACATTGGTCTGTGACCACAACCTCGAAAGCTTGATAGACTATTTGTTCGCTACCTTCCCTAGCTTCCAAACATGGGACTGACGGGTCCCGATAAATTAATTGCTCGTCCTCTTCGTGGACTACAATCTCCTGATCTTCATATTCAAATTTCACCATCTAGTGGAGAGTGGAAGGTACGGCCCCTGCCGCATGAATCCAGGGCCTTCCCAAGAGGAAATTATAAGAAGTGTCCATGTCTAGGACTTCAAATGTCACCTCGAAATCCACAAGACCAATAGTCAAAATCAAATCAATCTCGCCTATGGTGTCTCTCTTGATGCCATCAAAGGCACGTACACAGACATTGTTGGGCCTAATTCTCCCAGTCCCAATCTCTATTCTTTGCAAAGTTGAGAGAGGGCAGATATTAACTCCGGATCCGCCATCCAGCATGACTCTTTTCACATAGTACCCCTCGCATTTAACTGTCAGATGAAGGCTTTGTTGTAGGCAGCCCCTTTCGGGGGTAGAGCATTCTTGCTAATTGAGATCTGGTTAACTGCGAAGAATCTTTCTGCCATTCTTTCCAGTTGTTCAACGGTAGTTTTAATCGGAACATAAGCTTCATTGAGGGTCTTTATCAACACTTTCTGATGCTCGGTTGAGTTTACCAGTAGAGATAGGAGTGAGACTTGTAAAGGATACTTTCGGAGTTGGTCTATTACCTCATAGTTCGTGGTTTTTTTTTACGGAAGAATTCTTCGGCCTCCTCAGCACTGACGGGCTTCTTCGGTGGGAAACACTTCTTCTTGGCTTTGTTCAAATCCTCCA